TGTTTTGCCACCAATGTGGTCGGCTACCTTTCCCGATTACTAAGCAAGTTCTATTTTTTGCTATTTCTTAATAGGAAAACGTTGCAAGTGCCCGGAATACGAATATTCATAGTTGCACTTCCGTCCGATTGTTCTTCTGAAACGCGAGTGGCACTGGGAAGAAAATCTGATATGTGTGGTATAGTGTTTCTTGGCAAACCGCAAAAATTGGGGTGCTGCGATCAATTTCCCCCCAAATCGCCTAATTAATCTAGGGTTATCGTGAATTCTAGGTGTTGCAACCCAAATTGGATTCTTTGCAAGATGTGACCTCAATTGCAAATTATCAGTTTTTTCAAGAACATTCTGCTCTTTCAATCTGACATTCTGGCCACTATTCGCAGTTCGAGTTGATAGTAGAACGATACATTTTAAACAGAATATCAATCAATGAATATTACATATATTTTACTGACTCATTTGGCTTCTCGTACGGCAGTTTAACTTTAATGTCGAAATTATCTCCTACAATATATTAAAAATAATAAAAATAAGTCACTAATCCTTCTTTAACTTAACAATAACCAATTTGTAAGCTCATTATTGTTGTGGTCTTTGCGTTCATTAAACTGTTAATTGGACGTATTCCTTCAAATATATCTGCATTTATCCTATTAATCTCGAACAACTCCTAGTTTTAGCATTAATATTTAACTGGCAAATTAAACAAATATGTTGTGTTGTTCAGAAATCATTGAAAGTTTTAAATTGATTTATGTGCGTTATGGAATTCACTGCAAGTGGAACGTGATTGTGCATACGTTTTGTGAGACAGATACATATAGTGCATTCTACTTAGAAACCGATGCACGTCATCAAGCATGGAACGCACATTGTTGTTACAGTCCTGATAAATTATTTATAGTATAAATAGGAAGTCCTCCAATGTAGATTTATGTTCGAATAACGTTTACTCGAAACCACATCTATCCGTTCTTAAATGATTAAATTCTTCGAGTCTGATATATTTAATGGAAGTTAGCATCCTTTTCATTATACAAACATCAATACCAATTTAAGGCAAGCTGACTTGACTCAAGTTAGGGCTCTCATTGTGAAAAGTTACTCTTGCAGTAAAATAATTCAAAGTTTATGTAAATAATAAAAAAGTAACACAGGTAGCACACTGTCACCTAGCAATTCGAGACTAATATAAATTTCGAAGGCTCATTAAAAGCTATAAATCTTGATTGCTGTTGTTGGTCAGAAAAAATTATAGATTATCTAGAATTGACTAGAATGAACTGAAATGAATCTTCAACAAATACTTTTCATGCAAACTGATTGTTAAATGGACAACGTAACTTAAAAAATACTCGATTTACGGTTTGAGACTAAATGTATTTGCCTTAAATTAGGTAAATTACATATCTCAAATAAGGAAACACCTAGTTTGCTAACAATCTGTTTTGTGCGATAATCAAATAGCATGAAATAGTTTGTAACATGACCCAAATAATTCTATTAAAATTTTTTTATTAAGTCATGCCTTACAACAAAGCTGTACGTTATATTAGGCACACGAATAAAAATTTATTTAAAAAAGTAATTTTTATTCAAATGTTCACAATTTTTTCGAAGTAAGAATCAAATTCAAAATGTTTTGCAAAGACTGATTTTAGAAAAATCTCTCACTGGTTGAGGTCTGACTAAGAGAACATTTGGGCTTTTACTTGAAATGTGTACGTGGCCAAAAACGTTATCCTTTAAAGATGATTTTAATTTTGATTTCTGATATTTTTTTCTGAATCCAAGCAAAATAATTAACATTGACGAAACAGTTTGCTTACTTAACTCTTGAAGTCTATTTAGGTAACAAATGTATAACACCTGTTTGTGCATGTAATACATAAACAGCAGTAGTAAGAAGGAAAATGTAATGTACCTACGAACCCAAACCTACCCCCCAAAATAAAACTCTATGCATAGTTGATTCAGATTATTTTACTAGCTCTAAGAAGATCTTGAAGTACCTAATATATCCAAAAGCAATTTAAAAATAGCTATTTTTTATATTTGATAAATTTAATAAGCAATGCCTAAGCTTTTATATTATCGGTCGCTTGTCTCTTTCAAGTAATTTGAAGGGACATTGTGGATTGTGTTTAATGTTTGTACTCTAAAACTTCATTAATAAACTTTCCAACAAATTCCATAATTAACCAGAACTGTTAAAACACTGTCGTTGTATTTAGCTGAAGTTACATTGACCTGCTAGTCAAACAAACATTCACTCACTTCTTAACATTTGGTAAGTTAGACAACCTGATAATTTTGCGTGGCTACATTTAACCTGGCAACTATAAATTCGTGTAACATTTAAATGAGCCGGATACGAGGAAACCTTTAGTTTACGGCTGTGCCCCTACACTTAGTTTGTGTACTATTTGACATTTAAAGTAAATTTATTTTTAGAAATGCTTAATTTAGGCACAGTTACAGGACTTTTAATACGAACTTGTATAATATTTTGCCTGAAATGTTGTCAAGATTTCAGCAATATCATGAAGATATAGTCTACTGTAACAAACGGGGATTTGTTCAGCTCAGGAGGTTAACGTAAAGTTTCGTATTTTTCCGATTTTTCAGATGATCATCCAAAATGAGTCAAATTTGATATAGCTTTCGAGTTAAAAGAGATAAGCATGATCTAATTTCAATTTATTATGCCGTTTTAAAAGACTTCAAAACATTGATCGGATATTATCAATAAATCTATAGGTACTTAATTTGAAAGGGCAAAAGTTCTTCCTAATTTAACGTAGGTATACGGCAAGCTTTTTGATACACCCTGTTATGTTAGTAGTTTTTAAACAGTTTCTTGTAGTTTTCGATCTGCAAAATTTAACACATTCTTAAATAAAATTAGCAACCAATTTTTTCCGGAAATGTCTTCGGAATCGTCATCAATTTTTTCATATTGTTCTTCCAAAATGTTCTTCCAAATGTGTAATGCACATTATTGAGCAACGTTGTATAGAACGAAAGGAAATCTTTGATAAATTGCCTACCCGATTTGTAAGAAATTATAAATCATAAGAGGGATGCAATTATGCCCCATTCGAAGACGAGCAACGCGTGGTTGCCAATAGTACCGTTCATCTGTAATTGTGAGGAATTATTATCTTTTAATACACGAAACCTTAGTTAACATCTGTCACACATTTTTACACACGATTTATTTGAAATAGAATGAATATCTTTTTATTGAAAAAAATGAACTTTATTAACAAAAAGCTACACATTTTTAAATAGACATCAGAACTAAATCAGCATAAAAGATGTTTAGTAAGCATTTGTGTGCAGGTATTTGTAAGTAAGGTAAGCTTTTGTTCACACGTATCTAAATGTTGGATAATTAATTAAAATAATGATCTTTAAAGAACGTTTTCTCCATATAAAACGAATTGTGGAAGAAGTGTTTATAATTGCAACAGGGATTTAAAAACCACGTAACATTTATAGCGGTCCAGCACTGAAAAATATTCTGGTTTATTTCAGAAAAAAAAGGTACGCATGGCAACACAGGCTCTCACTGTACCTGAGACACTCACTGTCTCACTGTAGTTTCACACCTCATTGCACCAAATTACCGAAAAGTCGGGTAGGTGTGTTTAGGAGATCGACCTATTTTATCTAATTAAGTAGTTGACTTTTGTTCCACACTCTATGTTCTACAAATTACTCATACACCCCACAAGCAACCAAAAAATAAAAATTTTGTTAACAATAAACTAAATAGTATAAATATTTGAAGTCTCATTTCTTTAATTTCTCCTTCTAGGTCGTATAAAGATCTGGCCTTGTTTGAAATAATACAATCTGATCTGTTCTGTGAAAAAAAGAGTATATCGGACCTTGCTTACATTTATAAAACTCTAAATATTTATTTTTGCTGGCTGCCAAATGTAATGAAATAACCCTAATAGGTAGGCGCCTGTTTATTTATTAGTTCGTGTTTGTCTGTCTTATGCAATACCACTGGCAGTATCAGCAGCAGAATCTAAAACAATTACCTACAATGCAAAATAATCTGATAGGCAGCGACCAATGTGAATACCCAATGAGATATGATAATCTGCTCATTTTACTGAATCGTTGTAATGCATACCTTAATTCATTGCTAATGCTTCTATTTATAGCTAAGCATAATGACTATGATTTCATGTTCTTCTTTATGCCAAATCTATTCTTGTGTGTGTCTAGGAAGGATTGGAGTTGATCAATTAAAAATTATACTTCGTCCTTTTTTCCTCATAACCCTTTGACTTGCCCTCCGATTCTTATAATTGTGGTGAAATTTTCTTTATAAAAGGAGTCACGCATTTTCTAGAAGGAATATGCTTTCTCTAATTCGAATGCCAAGAGATTGGCTTTGGTGCCGGTAGTGTGAGGCCGCTGCCCTTTTAGGAATGGCCTCCTCCCATATATCATGGCATCTTTAAATTTATGAATTTCATAGAAACGAGAGGAAGCGGGGTTTGAGTTACGAGCTCGCGCGTTTTATTTCATTGCTCGACGGAGGTGTTGTTGATTCTGCTTCTTTTAATTTGATTTATGCTCTCTCGCCTGCGCTCTGTATCTAAATTTGGACCACGCATTATTGGAGTTGTGTAAGTTCACCAAAGTCGAGCTCGAAATATCGTCTTTGGACAGTCACAAAGAAATTGGACCGCCTCATTTGTCCCAACGTACATTTCAACTTCTCATATTCTGCAAGGACATGCGCTACTTTGTGCTATCTATACTATGCGGGTACTTTGGCCCAATTATTTGATACCGACTTCTTAAAATTACCCCTGGTATGATAATAGTTTTTAAAGCGCCGACCAGATGCGATAAAAATGAAATTATTTATTACACATACTATGTGTCTATTATATATGTAGTTTGTTTGTATATCTAATAGGCACCAATATCTAAATGCGATAATTTTGCTAATGACTATTGCTTTGTTTCAGGTATGTATTTACGGAGAATCGCTTTTATGACATAGTGCGTCTAAGCTCATGCCATTGGAAGTTGCATCAGTGGTTGGTGATAGTGAGTTAAACGCCTACTTAAAGTTCCGTTTCTAAGGTAAGACGTGAAATTGAAAGCGACTTGGTTAACAAAATGCAGCGCCAGAATTTAGTGATAAATTTGGTGAATTCTCAAAAATATTGGGGAAGTCCATACTAAATCGGCATACCTCAATTTTGGTCAAACGTAAGTTACGACTCAACTCTTTTCACTTTGAGTCTAATTTGTCATTTTTTGCGGAAGTTTCACTTCTTTCGTATAGCTATTTTGTAAATGAGAGAAACGTACCAGTGGTTGATTAATTTTTATGTGGACTGTGGATTTTTCAAGATATTTTTCATTTCATAAAATAGGGCATTTATGTTCGTAACATTTTTCGCAAATGAAAACATTATTTATTTTATAATTGTAACTTTGTGTGGTAAAAAGTATCCACTCAAAAGTTGTAGAAGGATCAACGTTTTACATTGGGCGATCAAGAACAGTAATCGGATAGACCTCGTCGAGTCCACAAGCGATATTTCTTAATTCTTATTGTAATTCCAACGAAATATTGTCAAATTTCCAGAAGCCTTAATGATTTCTATAGGAGTTAGACATGCTACAACAACGTGACTTGACTAAAACCTGCTTTTTGTTTTTGTCAGAGCGGTCACCGAACTGCTAAGGTATTTTCTCAGACACGTTGCCCAATAATCAACAGTATTAAGAAAGTAATAATCGGCTAAACTAATTTAAGGACATAGCGACAACTAAATGTAGAACGTATTAGAATTTATTGCCGAAACAGTTATATGTATGAGCTTAGAGTCCTTAGCACCTACTTACGATTGCGCAAGCGGCTTGCTATATGCATTTGCGGTAAGCTTATGGATTTATAGCTCTCGAATTTAATTTAATAGAAGGTGCAAAGAATATTTAATAGATTTTGGTGGTAATATATGGAATTACGTGGAGAGGCTCTGCTTTTAGCGGAATATTAGTAATATTTAATTTCAGTAGATATGCTAAGCGGATTCTATCTTCGCGTTGAATGAGGCAACATTAATTATTGTTTATTGAGGGTTGGAAAAAACTAATTGTCACATAAATGTACATAATGAACGCTTTGTTAGGTTGCAACATGAAATAACGACTCGTCTAAATAGCACCTAAGCGTCCACAAGGTTGTGCATCACCTGAATGCCTTTATGGGTGTTAGAGAATGACCTCGGACATTATACTATTAGAATACCCCATCCCGAGTTAATGTTTACTTGTTGAGTTAAAGTTAACTTTTATTGGATGCCTTGATTGTTGTAAAGGTTCGTGGAAGTGGTATTTTCAAATTTTGAGAAATTATTTTTTAATAATTATTATCTGTTGTTAAATTTGAATATCTCAAATTTAATTTTGTGATTATTTATGATTAATTAGATTTCAGAATCAGTAGCATTGGCGTAGATAGATCTAAACGTGAACCGTGTGATGTCCGAAAGGGTTTTAGTTGACCATGACTCAAGGGAATGCTTTCTAGGAAATTCTATTATACCTGAGACATATTTCCTACATAGTACTATAACCCTTAGAATTTGTTCCAATTTTATAACTCTATAGCGCTGGTGTTGTCAGGTTGTAAGGGTTGACAATAATTGTTCAGACGTAAATCTGATCTGAATCTAGCCGAATGTCTGAAAAGGGCCTGCATGGGTCTCTTTCGAGAACTCCGATTATAACCAAATAGAGCCGAGACGTATTCCGAAAATAAAACGTAGATTTCGTTAGTGTCTTTCGATCAACAAGGGCATTCACACTACTGTAACACAGTACATACTGAAACCTTGACGGCTTTAGCGGTTGATGAAAAGCTTTTCCGTACCATTTTTCTCTGTTGTACAACAGTTTAATCGTCTTTAACATTTAGGCACTTTTTAATGGTACATTGCACAGCACACGAGTGAACAAAACTCTCAAGTACATTTTTTGAACATGAAGACAGTGAAATCGTGTGCATGGTCTCCTTTAGTACACCAGCTGGCGAGCTGTCAAGCCATTAGATTAGGGTCAAAGGAAGAATGGTGCGGGGCCCGGGGAGGAAAAAGCGGCCCATATGCTGTCACTCGCAGACAAGGAATTTAGGCATGGATCACATTTGGCTCAGCCTTATTCATTATGGCTGCTTGCAAAAGGGGTCGTGCCTTATTACCATCTTTTCCACTTTCAAATCAGAGGGCATTGTTGTACAGCCACAACTGCAAATAGCTGAGCATGAGTAATAGGGAAAAACGTTTTATACTGGAAGTGCGGAAAGAAAGTGAAAGGAAAGTGCTTAAAGAAGGGAACCTGCTGATTTAGACACTGTCCAACGCTCTAATATTGAGCTAACCCTTTTACTATGGTTATTAAAACAACTATGACACAGTTTTTTAGTTAGTTTTTGTTTGAATCCGGGATGGGTTTTTAGTCTATATTTATCAATAAATACATTATTTTCTTCATATATGATCCTGCAATCCACACAAACTTTTCATTTCAAATTGTGCTATAGATCTATCAACTAAAGTCAAAGAAAATGCAGCTTATCTTCACTTTAAAAGTAGCTGTTTTTTAGTTGTTCAGCCAAAGTTAGCGCTAGTGATGAGACATGGAAGTGCTTTAGATGGATGGGTGGATTTCTTCAAACGAATACACCTCAATTTTGTTGTTGTTTTAAAATCAACCAAGATCGTCTTTTACCAAGGATTAATGCTATTTTGGAGAACATTTCTCGCCCATCTATTAGCTGAAAAAAGTATCTCTGATACATTCTTAACTATTGTCTTTAGCATTCCGCCAAAATGATACGTGAAGATGCTAAACTGCTTCCATTAAAGTTATTAATTACCAAGTGTTCAGTACGATGTAAAGATGTCAACAAAAAAGTATATCTTTGCTTTATCGACTTTGCCAAAGCGTTTGACTGCGTAGACCATGAGCTATTACTAAATATCATCGGAAATACCGGCATGGATAATAAATATATCCGCATAATAGCAAACATGTATTGGGGACAAACCGCTAAGGTAAAGCTGAACAACCGGTATTCTGACAACATAGAAATAAAAAAGGGAGTGAGGCAGGGCTGCATCCTGTCTCCGCTCCTTTTCAATATATACTGGGAAAACGTATTTGGAAAAGCGGTGGAGGAAGCAACAGAAGGTGCGATATGCTGATGATACAGTCATACTAGCCAACAACATAGACGAATTGCAGCGCGTCATGGAAAGAATACAGAAAGTGAGTGCAGACCACGG